AAAAAGTTAACTTCAAAAAGTTATAAAGTGTTATTTTCCATTGGCAATGTATTTGCACAGGTCAGGTGTACAATTTTTGAAGCACCTATAAATTTATACAAAGTGAGCATATAACTATAACAGCGGTACGTGGCTGCTAGTTTTGTTCCACCCTTTTATGGAGTCATTCAGCTTGAAGGAGAGTCAGCTGAATCATTCCATCAAAACAGATCTGCAAACAGAATGGTACCTTTTCATAATAAGTGTGCCACTTAAGTTTGGAAATGTCTTAGTCCCAGGGTGGTTTTCTGTGTACCAGTAGCATACGGATTGACAACTGGGCCTGCCTTTGTGCTTCGTAAGGCAGATTGCATTGCCTCTGATGCTTTGCTTCAAGTGCAAAAGAGATTACCTTTGATAGCTGCACCTGGAACACATTGGAAGTGCTTTGCATATGCCTATTGGCTATACCAAGTCTTCCTAATTTTACAATCTAGCTTAACATCTGTCCTGGAAGGAAAAGTTCTACTCCCGGTTGTCTAAGGCTAATCTACATTGTAAATAATATTTACATTGTAAATAAATTGTCACCTATTTAGCACATTGTACATATGTCAAGTTGGAACTGAGGATGAATTAGAACCATAGCACACAGGGCCCCTGACAAAGTGACGACCCCCCAGTTTCTCTTTTTATAGGAGAGAAACTGCCTTGCCAACATTCTTGATTCTGATCTCTTTATATGCACTCCATAAATACATCATGTTGCTGCTATTAAAAGCATGTTGAACCTGAATTCTGGTTGTATCTGGATTCAATTGTGTTTCCCCAAACTTAGTGAATGTTATCTTTTCCCCCTTCCAATAGTCATTGAATCATGACCTTGGGGCTTTTTCAGCTGCATCAGACCATAAAGAGATGACCAGTTTGTGGTTTGTAATATGTAATCTATTTTCCCTCAAAACTCCAAAGTCCAGCTGAAACCTGGTACAAAACAGTGGTTCAGAAGAGATACAAAGTTGTGGAATAATATCTTGGAATACATCTTTAGCCCTGTCATTGAAAATAGATATGTTGTTATCTCTGGTAACCCTTAATGGAGTTTTGCTGACATCAGGACTGAAATGACAAGGTTTTATGGATTTGTTTATAGATAAAAGATGGGATATGGGAAGAAGAGATCATTTGTATTTTAAGAGGAGATAAGCAACTAATTTTTTTTATACTTGTGATGAAGGGGGAAGTCACTTCTTTATATATTTCTTTTCTTTTTCTTTACTATATTCTTTTTTCTATTTTTTTCTATTTTTTCCTTTCTGCACCTTCTATTTTTTTCTTTTCTTTTTTAGTTTGTATTAGTTGATATTGTTGTAAATGTTTAATAAAATGATTGTATTTTTTATACTTGTGATGAAGGGGGAAGTCACTTCTTTATATATTTCGCCTCTTTTTCTTTACTATATTCTTTTTTCTATTTTTTTCTATTTTTTCCTTTCTGCACCTTCTATTTTTTTCTTTTCTTTTTTAGTTTGTATTAGTTGATATTGTTGTAAATGTTTAATAAAATGATTGTAAAAAAAAATTGTGAAAGGAGTATATTGCCACCCTATCTATTTAATTTATATGCAAAAATGCTGACTAGAGACAGAAGTTGGAATTAAAATTGTAGTTCAGCTATGCTAATAAGATCTTTATAGATATCTTACTTTGGTAGCTGGAAGTAAGAAAGACTTAAAGAATGTCAAAGTTGAATGTTGAGAGTGCCAAAGCCAATCATTATTTAAAAAAAACCCAAAATATATGTCAACCAGAAGTACCAATCTGGTGCAAATAGGTGAAGATGTATTTTCTGGGCTTAAAGCCCCACAGGAATAGTGACTGTAACTAACCACTAAATAAGAAGACATCTGCTTCTTAAGAGAAAGACTGACAAATCTGGACAAAGTATTAAAGTGAAGAGACATTCAATTGCCAAGGAAGGCAAGTATTATCAGTGCCATCATCTTCTCAGTCATAACATATGGCTGTGAAAGCTGATCGTAGAATGGCTAAACAAAGAAGATGAATGGATTCTAGTGCTGAAAGTATTTTGAATAGCAAGAATAAATAATTCAATACTGAAGTAGAAACAGCTCATTACAAAAATGAATAATTAAATATTTTGGACACGTAATGTGGAAGCAAGACTCTTTGGAGAAAACCTGATGCTTGGAAGAAACAAAATCAATAGAAAAAGAGGTTGGCAAAAACCTAAGTTAGTTAGATACTATCACTGATTTCGCAAGCGGGAGCTTACAAGATTCAAAGAAGCCATTACTGACAGTCCTGGTCCATGTGATCTCAAATAGAAGCAACTAAACAACAAAATCTAGCTCACAAATCATCTGTTGTTCTACTGCTAGATGAAATGGTAGCTATCTGCAGTCCAGACTGTGCCATTGTATAGGGAAATAGGACAGCTTTAATTTAATTGTCAGTGGAATGCATACTTCACAGTGTAGGATGCTTAAATAATCAACGAGTGGAAGGTTTTTGAGGCTTATCCAAAGAAAATCAGTGTATAAGAAACCTTGACATTATGGTTATAATGATGTTATCTTTGTATTTCTTTTTGTGATGTAAGCAACAAATAGTATTGCTACCTGACAGCAGGTATAGTTTATTTAGATAACATAAACTTATTTTAGATTTAAATCAATTAATTTTTCACCAGAATTTAAGTACAGAACTGTACTTAAAGACTTGTTTTACTTTAATGGTGCTTATGAATCACTGTTAACTATTACCTTGAGGATGAAGTTGGGATGGGCATGCCTATAAAAGAAGTTATCTGTTAAATTGCAGATAAGCACCAATAAATAGTTATTCCATATCACAGTGCTACACCTACTTTTGCCACACCTTGTCTTTGGACTAGGAATGACCAGGTACTTTGCTCTTTCTCCATGGGGAATTAATGCAACTACAGCTTGCTTTGTTATTAGCACTCTAGGAGGTAGAAGAGGCCAAAAATTCCAGTTAACACTGTTGGTTTGTAAGCAGTGTGTGATTACATCTCTTTAAACAAGTCTTAGCTACTTTCATCTGAATTCTGTCTGCTTTATTAGGTAGCTGCTTTCAGTTATTATCATCAGGAAAAATTGGAATGGGTCTACACAAAGGAAGTTAAACTTCCAATCCTTCTGGATAGATGCCTATAAAGATTCACTTGACAGCACAATCCCATGAGTACTCTGCTTGTTGTGCAATATATTTGGATTGCAAATATATTGTTGTGCAATATATTGGATTGGGGGGAGGGGGACCTTCACCTGCTCTGCACTAAAGAGGGTACAACATAATCCTGTTTTGCTCTTCTTTGACGTAGTCCTATTTTATTTTTTTAATGTGTTTATTGCTTTGTTTTATATAAAGAGAGAGAAGTAGTGCATGTGTGGGACAAATATATATGCACCTACACATGCAGATGAATAAAAGCCACAGAAATCAGCGAATCTTCTAAGGAAGAAAAACAAGTGAACTCAGTGGTAATCAAAAAAGTCTGAAAACACATATGCTTTATGTTGCTAGTGAATGGTTGAGTGTGTATAAAACAGAAATTATAGGGGCATAAATTTATGTTTGAATATTAGAATCTAATTCTCAGGTATCCTTTACAAATGTTTAAACATATAGGGAAAGAGAAAAAAGGAGCATAACATCTAGATCTATGGACTTTTAAACCAGAAATTCAGTGAGAGGTTCACAAAATGGCTTCCCAAACAGATTTGTAAAGAAATGCTACATTTAAAATTCTTACTGGAAACTGATATTCTAGAGAAGCCATCCCCAAACTGCTATACTTCATATTGGTTGGAATAAAACTTTCAGCCATTTCCAGTTTGCTTGGCCATGTTGGATGGGTAGAGATTAAGAGTTTATAACCTAGCATGTCGGCAGAAGCTGCCTTGGGAGAATGAAGAGAAGATAATAAAAATATATTTAGTACTGTTTGTTTTGGTTTGGAAATGTATGCAGAATGGTAAAACATTACCTTCCTTACACATTATGTGGAGAAAGCGGTCCACACAATGGAACAGCACCAAAGAAAATAGGGGCAAAGCAGATTGAAGATGATTTGAAAAACCTGACTCAGTTTAAAGAAGAGTGCTATTTTGGTGTAGTGGTTAAAGGCACCAGGCTAGAAACTGGGAGACTGTGAGTTCTAATCCCACCTTAGGCGCAAAGCCACCTGGGTGACCTTGGGCCAGTCACTCTCTCTCAGCCCTAGGAAGAACAAGGCAATGGCAAACCGCTTCCAAAAATCTTGCCAAGAAAAACTGCAGGGACTAGTTCAGGAAATTGCCAAGAGTCAAAACTGACTCGAAGGTGTGCACATGCACACGTGCGTGCGCACACACGCACACTAAATATGAAACCAGCAGCCTTCAGTTAGAAAACATAGTGCACCATTATAAGAGATATCTGTAGTCCAGCAGCACCCATAGCAATGTACTGACTCCAAGGTCAGTCACACCCAGACACTAAGGGGACAAAGAAGAAAGAAAAGTATTATTCCTTTCATGGCTTATAAATCCATTCATAAGGACCTAATTTCCAACCCTTCATTCTTTTTTTTTTTTATCCTGCCTTTCTTATTTTTATAAATAACTCAGGGTGGCAAACCATACTTAATATTCCTTCCTCCTATTTTCCCCACAACAATCGCCCTTGAGGTGAGTTGGGCTGAGAGAGAGTGACTGGCCCAAAGTCACCCACCCATATGCCTAAGGGAGGACTAGAACTAATTTGCTAACTCCTGTTAACAAAACACAAAAATCAAGAATGTGCTTAATATTGTATTTGTTTTTATAATTGAGGGGGGAGGCATATTTTGTATGGACTTCCTACAGGTTTTGATCTGGAGAAAGGTAACTCATAATTCGTAAAGGTGATGCGAAATAGCTTTGCTTAGAAGTTGATATGTATTAAATACTCACGTTGGTTGAATAAAAAGTAAACAGCTATTTGCTTTTATTCAGGATCGAAGGCGAATGTTTGAGAACAATCTAGTAAAGGCAGGTCTGGAACTAGAAACTGAAGATAAGAAGGTAAGGAAATATTGTGGGTTGTTATTGATTAAAATGAATGATTAAAAATATGGGGGCAATGAGAATTACTAGGAACAGCTGGGCAATGTGATCTTTGCTTCATGAGTACCACATTTAACTTGTTTGTTTTATATTAACGTCATTATAGGTAATAGACAATAATTAAAAAAATATATAAGTTTCTTCCTGAAGCAATTGTACATAAGGGCAGTCCACAATTGATTTGTGTCTTTTGCAGCTTTATGAGATATTGCGTTAATATTCTTTGCTTTTCTGATAATGGGAGACTGCACCATTTTGTACCATATGTTTATGTCTGTCATGGATAACAGAGGTAATTCCACTGCAGGAAAGCCTGATTGTAGGTATTTGTTACTGGGTGAAATTCTGCCCAGTTACCATCAGGTGATATTGCTAAAATCTCAAAGAAATAGATTAATAACCAGCAACTGCATGGAGAGAAAGGATTTGAGCATAAATGCTCAGAGAACATTTTGTGAAAAAGTGCAATGTTGAACACTGCTGCATTTGAAAAGCTGGCATTTTTTATTGTTTTCTGGCTTTTGTTATGAAGGTTGGAGAGTTCGTAATTGAGAATAATCTAACAAGTTAATTGCTCCTTCCCCCCCCCCAAACAATAGCTACTAACTAATTTGCCCTTATTTAATGTTCTCAATTCT